AATTAGCTTTTGCTTTCACCAATTTATAGCCATAAATACTATGTGTTCTGGTATTTGTTATGTTGTTCAAGTACCGATGATCCGATCATGCCGATCAACTATCGCATTAGCAATTACTTAATGGTGTTTTCTCCCGATTTATCTATTATTTTCCAGAATTATATAGAGTTATAGTCAAAACCTGTCTGCTTGTTTTTCCTACATTATCTGGAATTATCGATTAATTTTGGGCATATTTTTGCAAATCGTTGATTTCAGACTAACAGCGATCACTGTTCACCGCGTGCTGCTGCTGTTTGGGAAAGAGACGGGCGGGTGGGCACAGAACATTGCGGAAGCAGAAGCAGCAAAGAAGCCAACGACGTCAAATCCGTGCCAGAAGCAGCAGCGGCAGCCTCCGTTCCGCGATTCTTTGAGAGCCACTCGCCCGGTCGAGGCCCTCCCTCACACACGTACCAATGTATGTACGTGTGTTTGTGTGCGAGTGTGTGGGGGGTTCAACAACCTCCCACAGCGAAGCCACGGATTCGGAGAGAAGCGAATGAGAAGAGAGGAATAATGGAAAACAACAATACACTGCCCCTATCCTATCCTATCCTATCCACAGCGCCCACTGCTACTGCTCCTTCCACACGGTCTCAGGCATCGCATCGCAATATTTCCTCCAATTATGCATAAATAAAGGGAAAATCATAATAAAGTTCGGACCAGGAGGGATCCCTGCCGTGATTAAAACATGCAGCAGGCATCCAGGAACCCAGGCGGCATTTGACCCACTTCGGAAGCAATATGTCCATTAAGTGGGTGGTGGCTTCGAGGGCTTCTCCTCTGGGCAAGAGCCAATAACAAAAATAAAAAAGGCTATAACCAACAATTGCATGCGGAAGCAGTGCAGGGCCAGAAGAGGTTGGCGTGGAGCGACATTTGATAGCCAATTGTGGCCAGCAAAGTGCTTATAGATTTCAATTAACTATAACTATAGGCACGGCCCAGTCATGAATGGGATGGTGGGTGTATAGTTGAATGGCTGCAAAATTCTAACTAACTTGAAAAGATCCGATGATAAAACAGACATCAGACATGTAATGTCGCCGTCTCTTAAAAACAGACAATGCTTATTTGGATTCTCCGCAGGGAAATATCAGTTGTAAAGAACTAAAAGTAAGTGTGGGGTTTGGTTTTTGCCAGCCAAAAATACCCATTTCCATAAAATTGAGAACAACGCAATTGCCAACAATATAATATACTATACGATATGTACATATATACCCATGCATATTGTTTATATTTTAGTATACAAAATGCGAGTATACTTACGAGAGTATACTATGTACTCTATTGTAATCATACTCGTACGTTCTGCTCTAAATAATCAATGAACGGGCCAGGAGTATATTTAACCATAATTTATAATCGAACAAAATATATTATAATATTTCAATGGCGTACTCCGTAGATTGTATAGGAGTTATCTAGCCAAAAGTCTCCTTTTTTTGGGTCTCCATTTAGAAAAAAAAACTGTAATGTGAATATCATTTAGCCCAGACAGATGGATGACGCGAAAAAAGGGTAATCCTGAAGTTATGATCATTATAATTCGATCCGAAACTCCACGACTATATTTTCACGTGAGATATCAAATTTGCATGGTATTTATTTATTGATATTTGGGTGTAACACTTTTCATTCCTCTCTCTATTAGCGGTAGCTTCTTCTACATTTTTAATCATTTGCTCCCCTTTAATTCGGCCAGGCCCTGCAGGGCTTCCCTCTTCCCCTGTCTCTGTCACTATGTCGTTGGACCCTGTTCCAGTTTTGATTTCGGGTTTGAATTGTTGCTGGGTTGGTGGGTTGGTTCTCTGCTGTTTCTGATTGTTTGTTGGTGGATTGTTCTCCGTGGTGTTCTCTGTTGATAAGAGTGCATTGGGCCTGACCCATTTTCCACACTCGTGTATCCGTATCCGTGTGCGTGTAGTGCATGTGTGTGTGCCTGCCTCCACATGTTTTTTTTTTTTTTTTCGTTGCACAACGCAGTTTGTGCTTCATTCTCATTCTCATTTTTATTCTTATTCTCATTTTTTTGTTTTTGTTACTTGTTCTCTTTTGGTTTTTATTTTTAATGAAAGTTATTGTGGCTGCCGCTGCTGCTGCCGCTGTTGCTTCTATCTGCGGCGGCAGCCCTTGCGGCTTAATCAACGCAAATGAGGAATAAAAGTACACAAAAAGAGAAGAGCCGAGACGAGGCCAAACCTCAGGCATAGCAACAGGCTGCGCTGCACTCTGTCCCTGCCACATCCTGCTTGTGCTCCATGCCTACCTCGTGCCCCCAAGGGTTATTGTACTGTGTACCCCCCTCCCCGACCAAGCAGTCCGTAAGGACACAATAAATTCAGGGCAAGCCCAAAAAGGGCAGTCAGCGAGCAGCAGGATACAAATATTTCATAAGTTTTGTGCCAGAGTCAGAGCCGGAGGGATCCCCTTGCCCACTGCACCGCCACTGTTTTATTTAGTGGAATGAACACACACACAAACACACACACATGTAGTCGAATAAATTTATTTGTGTGCATACAAAGAGGGGCATAAGCAACGGCAACGGCAGTGGCAGAGATGGCTGAAGTGTTGTTGCTGCTGCTGCCCGAGTGTCTGCCCTTTTTATGAGCAATTTGATTTATGCACTGAACAAACAGACACCCAGAGAGACACAAATACAGACAGGACAGACAGACACTGGGGCAGGCTGGCTGGCTGGCTGGCTGGCTGGCTGGCAGAAGTTGGCAAATGTGCAACAATGAAAGTGCAACAATTTGTAGTCTGTAATGTCAATTCAAGCGAAATCAATTGTGTTGTATGCCACACACACACACACACACACACAAAAACACACAACACACCGCACACATAAATAAGTAAGCGCAAATTGATGCAAATACGATGACGAGAATCTAAATGGAGGAACCCCCTTTGCCCAGCACCCACCCTGCATGACACATAACCGAATCAAAAAGGATATGCCAGTGGAGAGGAGAGAGACAGTTAATTGAATATTCTATTTATGAGATATTCATGAGTGAAGAAAAACTGTGTGGAATATGTATGGCTCATGGTGGAATATTTATGTACATACAAACATATTAAAGGAAATATAAATATACAACTGCCAGCAGAGAATTCACTTGGATTATTACCACCGTTAATGTGGATCTTCACCCTTCAGGTACGTATTTTTATCAACTGCTCCGTAAACATAGTCAGCCAAATAAAATTCTAAACAAATTCCTGTGATAGATGAGGGTTTCCATTTTGCTTTCGCTAATTATTTCCCTGTAACATGGCCAAAAATAGCAATCGGCAGGGCAAACATTTTCTACGGAAAATTGTAATTGGAATCATAATTCCGGAAAAACGTTGTACTTTTCCCTTCCCTCCACCCAGCGCTTTTTTGTACCTTTCGCAAAAATTAAAATGAATGAAAATTTGAGGTGTGAGGGTGAAAGATAAAGATACAAATACAAGATTTCCAAAGAACTGGGGAGCCAACAATGCAGGGGGGGGGGGCCTCTTCAATGGAACACAAATAAATTATCAGCGGAGGAAAAAACATAGACAGAAGACGGCCAGGCCAGCAAGCAGCAGCCAGCAGCCACCAGCCAGTAGAAGCGTCCGCGTCAGAGCTTCCGATTTGTTCCGTGGAAAATGCAAATGGAAATGGAAAATCTAAGTAAATTTCCGTGGCAAAAAAAAACATACATACACACAAAAAAAACATGCAGAAGTCTCGACATAAGACCATGAGATACCCTCTATTACTTTTTCGGGCTGGAATACAAATATCTCTCTGGGGAAAACTGGAAATATTTCCATAATCGGACGAATATCGGAGTCCCACACCCTCCTCGAAATATTTATAGCAATTATTTTTTGATGGAGGGCAAAATGTACACATACATACATATGTACATACATAGGTACATATTTCCAACGAGTATTCATTCAGAATATTTTGCATTGCCACCCGCGTGCCCCTCCACACTGCCCTTTGGCGTGGCGATTAAACAAACAATGAACCCGCGCCATCAGCTGTCTGTGTGTGCGCGACTGTGTTTGTGTGGGTGAGGGATTGGGAACAAAGATTTGTGCAATGGAATGAATGGTAATACAATTGGCCAACATTGAGACAGACGGTTGGTGTCTGGGAAGGCCAGAAGAAAGAGTAGCAGCAGCAACAACAGCACCACCACCACCACAATAGGCATTTGGCAAAGGGAAAGCGTTTTTCCTGGGCCTCTCTGCCAGTGCCGCCTGTTGGCCGAAACTGGTTTTTGTGGCCCTTGCTTGCAAAACACTACCCAGCCCCGGAAATCACTTTCCCTAATGAAGCGAGACCCGCACACACCAACACTACTAGAACACACACACATGGAAGAACTGTTACAGTTACGATTATAAGCTGATAACAGTGTGCCTCTGCCTGGAACGAAGAAGGAAGAAGGAGGGTGAAGGGTGCGAAGGCTGAGTGTGACTGGAACAGGAACGGGAATGAAGTTGCAGTGCATTGGAATTCCAGAGTGTGTGGGAGGGATTGGGCTGGATGGGCAGGGGGCGGCACGTGTTGGCAAACATAAACACCCACACAAAAACGCACTCGAAGATGCAATTGCGGCACACACACTCCTATACACACACAAACACGAACGCCTGCACAGCTCTGACGAAATTTCAACACACACCCACACTGCTTCCTATGCACACACGCACGCACACTCATACCAGCAAAGAAATACAGGTTGAAAACACGCACGCAAAAATATTTCGGTGTATTTTTTTTTCTTCTCTTATTTAGTTGTTTGTGTTGTTGTGTTTGTGGCAACGCCTGCAAATCGCTCTTTAGCAGGCAATTTATTTGCCCCCGCAGGCCCCCAGGCGTGACACTTCCTTGCATTTTAGCTTTTCCAAATAACAATAATAACAATATGGAATTTGTTTCGTGGGACACTTACAAATTCTAGTTGTTCTGCCTCCGACGCCATTATTGATGTATCGAATGTTTATATGTATGGTTTTTTGATCTTGTATTTGTTGGTGATATTTTGTTTGGCGAATATATCAATATTGATAATTTTGTGGCATATATCATCACTTTTCGGAACTTTGAAAAAAATTCGGCTCTATTTCTGTGTTGTTTCGTTGTTCGCGCCGTTTAACATTTATCTCTCATGCCACCCCGTCTACGTCGTCCTACTTGCAGTTGCAATCGAGCGCCAGCGTTGCCAACTCTTCGGCTCATAAAAAAGCTAAGAAAACATTCGAAAAAGCTAGAAAAGGCCATTTTAATTGCAGGTAAAATAAATAATCAGAGTAGGGAAACGATATTTTTATTGATTATGAGATCAAATGCAAAAAACGGAATTTTGTTCGTCTGTGTAAAAGCAGATGACGGGACTGTCTTGGCATGTGCGTGCAAATCGTGATGTCTTGCATCAATGATAGATTTATTATTAAATCAAAAGCATCGGTTTCAGGTAAGCTTTAGATTCTAAAGGCTCCCAAAACTTTGAATGCGGCATCGAAAATCATAAAGTTACCTGAAGTTGCCATACTACGCCAATTTTTCTTGGAAAATAGCTGTTATTCAGCCATTTTTCAATTTATCCCGCATTTGCCAAGTAAAAACCGCTAGATATAGTAGGAAAATAGTAAATTGGCAACACTGTCCAGCATATGCAAACGCAGTGAATGTCAAAGCGGTATGGTCAACAGGTAAAACAACGCAGAAAATCCAATCATGCAAGCGCCGCCCCTCCCCTTTTACATAATATACCTTGATTGTTTCCGATTGTTTTGCGCCACGATAATTCTGTGTGATGTTGCTGGTCGTCTGTATTCATGTTGCTTGCAAACCGGTTGCATGTAGTCTGTGTTGAGCATGGGCGTTTTATACCCTATTTGTTCAGATTACCAATTTGATTAATAACTTTACTTCAGTACAACCTGTCATTAAAAAATTGCATAGAATCACCATTGAATTGCTCTGAGGCACTTATCTCGAAATTCCATTCATTATCGACTCTCATACCAGGGGTATTTACAGTTTTGTTTAAAAAAAGTGTATAAGCTAATTGAGGTAGCGTCCACATACAGGCCATTTTGGTCAACATGCTGCCAAGCGCCACCTCGTTCAGCAAATACACCCCTACTATCGATAGTATCACAACATAAGAAATCAATACTGATTGGCTGGTTGCAGTGTTGTGTTGTTGGCGCCAAATTCAAAAGACATTTCTTTTTAATATTTTTTAATAAATAAAACTAACTAAATACAAGAAAAAAAATAGGTTTAGCTGTTCGTGTTCATCGTAGGTCTAGACTCTAGAGCCTAAACTTTTGATGGCTCCTCGGCGGAGCTGCCGGGCGAGGGCGTGATCTCCGCCTGAGTCTCCACTGTGGCAGGGGCGGCATCAGTAGGCTGCTCGGCCTCCTTGACCTCTGTGGGCGCACTCTTGGCTAGATCGCCGGGCGAGGGCTTCTTGGGCGCCGGCTTGGAGCCACCAAAGATGGCCTTCTCGATGCCCAGAATGGGTGCCTCAAAGGCCAGTGTCGCGAATATGGAGGCGGTCAGGGTAATGCCAAAGTCCTGCCACCAGCGGAGGATCTGCAAGCGAGAGTCATAAGAGAAGATCCCAAAAGAGAGATCAAGTCACTTACCGCATCGTAGTTGGAGAAGTGAGTGTCGGTCTGGAGGCGGGCTGCGTTCACCAGCTGGACAATGCGATGGATGACGTACATGCAGTAGGTGAGACGACTGAAGCCGGTGAAGAAGCTCCACGAGAGGAAGTCGTTTATGAGGCCGCCATGGCCGTTGTAGCAGGCCCACACGATCCAGCCGATGGACAGGGCCCACGAGCTGCGGCTGAGGGGCTCGAACAAGGCGCCCTCGATGAGCGGCGAGTCGGGTGTGCCGGGCAGGATTCGCCAGTAGGGACCCCACATATCGGCCAGCATGGTGCCGATAGCCACCGTCCAGCCAATGACCACCCAGACCTTGGCCAGCGGGATCTGGCGTCCGCGGTTGCGCGTGAACAGGAAGTAGCCGAAGATGACGCCAATCAGCCACGTGGGAATGCGCGTGTGCGTCGGATAGTAGGTCATCTTTTGGCGCAGATCCACATGCTCGTCCTGCACGCGGAAGAGCGTAAAGTCCTTTATCATGAAGGTGGCAAAGGTGCCGCCCAGGCAAATCAGGCCAAAGATCGAGATGGGTATGAGCGCCTTCTTGCCCCACTTCCACAGTGGAATGAGGAACAGCGGCGACAGGAAGTACAGTTGCGTATCGACAGCCAGATACCAGGATTGTGAAACGCACTAGGGGAACACCAGGAAGAGATTCAGAGAGAGAATTTTGGGGGGATCCAGCATGGCGCACTCACAATGTGATAGGGATAGGCATAGTTCTGAATGTAGAGGAGCGTGGCCCACCAGGAGTCTTCGCAGCGCTTGTCCTGGGTGCCCAGCTTGAACCACATGGGCCCCTCGCCGGAGTACTTGTACAGCGACATAATGTAGAGCACCACCACGGCCACCACGGGTGTGAGGCGAATGTAGCGATGGAAGTACATCATGGGTATGTTCAGCTTGCCCTTGGTGCGCTCCAGCTCACGGAAGGCGCCCCAGCACATCAGCAGGCCGGACATGAAGAAGAACGTGTCCACGCAGAGGGAGCCGTTCTGGACGAGCATCGAGTAGGGTGTCTCCACCCACGTGTAGAACTTGTTCCGATTGATGTGCGGCAGATCGTAGAAGGTCATGTAGCCGTGTCCGAACACCACCCACATCATGCTGAAGCAGCGCAGACCGTTCAGGCAGTGGATCACATTCGGGTTGTTCACCTGTCGCACCGTAAAGATCTTGGGCGCATTGTGCAGCACCGAGAAGGCAATCAGCAGCGGCTTCTTGGGAGCTAACAAAAGAGTATTAAATGAAATGAAGATTCCTCTGGGGCTGGCTCGATGATGTGCTTACCCTTTTTGCGTGTCTGCACGTAGTCGTAGACACTGCTGGCAACCATGAAGAACACAATCAGCGAGAAGAAGATGCTGTGGATGAAGGATAGAGGTGCATCAGTGTTGTGCCATTCAATTGCCCTCTCATTGATTTATTTAATTAGAAAGGGTACTTCACACACGTATCACGAATGGCAGGCACTTCATTGCCCACTTTTATCTTATCGGCCTGGGGGGACGGCCTATTGTTTTCGGTTTTGACAGTTCCACTTTTAATTTGGCATTGCCAAGACTTCCTGATTCCGGATTACCCGTGTGATTACCTCCTCTCAGGAGTGCACTTACATGGCAAATATATCAATTCCGCGCAGCTGGATGGGTGCATCGTACTTGCATCGGGCTTCGGTGACCATGTTGTATGAAAAGTCAACAACATCGTCGCCATAGAAGTGGGTGATCACGTTCCTGAGCAGAGTCTCCGTTTTTGCGGGGCTGCAGGTGCTGGGCACGCAGATGCCAAGCTCAAAGACCTCGGGATCGGTCTGCCTGTAGCTGATGCGAGACTCCTTGAACTCTTCGCCACGTTGCTTGACTTCCTTGTAGAAGAGGGTAATGTTCAGGCTGGCCAGGCAGTACTGTCCGCGGATCTCGTCCCCGTAGGTGCTGGTGGCCGCCACGCACTCCTCGTACTGTCCCATGCTGATCGAGTGGCCCCAGAAGAAGCCCATGGGCAGGCGACCCCAAGTGTCGGGAACTGCAAAAGGAGAACCGAGTGTGAGTTGTGGAGTTGTGTCATCGCCGCAATGCTTAATCTCTAATGCCCGAGCAACCATGGCTGGGCTTATCGATGTCGTTGGATGGCCCCCACCTGCATTTGGGGATTTGCAGCGATAAGCAGAGTGGACATTGGGTTCTGGTTTCTCCGGTGCTTTCTTGCATAACATTCACTGATTTATAAGCCCCATAAAATGCACTCTTTGATTAACAATCACCGGCTGAAGGGGTAATCTATGATTGCCAAATGCATGAATGGAACCACAACCAGGCGGCAGTCTATCGGAAATCAGATTCAGTGGAAGCCCAGAGAGTAGGACTCCTTGTAGTTCTCTCCTATATTGATTGATCCCAATTGCAGGCACTGTTAACACGTTATCATGATTGGCCAGATCTTATCGCCCCCTAGAATGTATTGGGGCCAATCAAATTTTGATTTGTTACGCGTGGATTAGTGGGGTATCTTGGTGGGTTAACGTATGGCAATCGAATTTATAGCCCATCATAATAGACAAAAACGAGGCTAAAATATATTTATGAATGGGCTGGGCCCAGAGGGGAAAGCTAAATGGAGGTTTTTTTCAGGCAAAAGAGGCAATAAATGTGGGAAAAGAAATTCCAATTCTAATTCAAAGATTGAATGATCTTCAACGCAGCATTAATCGGGATAAAAGACAGGGGAAAAAGGCAAACCGAGAAGCGCTAACCGCATGACGCGGCACTGCGTACTCACAGAAAATGAACGCATCAAACATTATTTCATTTCACTCCAAAGACAGGAAACCTCTCTCCTAATCAATGAGGAATACCAAGAGCTGGATGATCATTAAAGACCGATACTCAGTGATACTCATTCAAAGAGAACTCTCAAAAAAGAAATAAATGATCAGTTTTGTGCTCACATTCGAGTGCCCATTCCTCTGTGTTGACGATGGCATCCCGGATGCGGATCACATCCCGTTCGCAGAGATCGTCATTGTAGACACGATCCTTGTACTCGCTGATGGCTGTGGCGTCGCGACGGCTGCGCGACCCTTGGGTGGCATTGGCAAGGATGGCCTGATCGGCGCCCAGGACAAAGAACTGATGGGCCATGCTGCTGTCCATGGGCGAGGAGTGGCCGGTGAGCAGCTGGCTGGATACTGAATCAGCGGATGCCGCCGCAATCAGGAGCAGCGGCAGCGCTGCTGCCAGGACATGGAGACGTCCCATAATCCTGCGGGGGAGTGTCTGTGTGTGTGCGTGTGGATCCTGTGGGTTGTTCTGCTCGTACAACTCGACTCGACGCGAGCGCGCTGCGTGGCGGTGCGGAAGGATTGGATGGATTGAACTGAGTGGCGATCGGCGGGATCGGTGGCTTTTATAGGCTATCGATTGGGCGGTTGGTAGTGGCTAATGGCCAGTGGTTGGTGGAC